AACTTAGCATATAGTTTCTTCTCTCCTCAAAGTCTGGAGCACTGTCCTCAGGTGCTGCTCATGATTTTCCCGACTCCGGGAATATACCAGAATGTCGTCAATAAAGACAATGATGAATGAATCAAGATATGGCCGGAATACACTGTGCATCAAATGCATGAAGGCTGCTGGGGCATTGGTCAGCCCAAATGACATAACAAGGAACGCGTAATGACCTTGAAGGCAGTCTTCGGGATATCTGGCTCCCGAATCTTCAACTGATTATAGCCTGAACGCAAGTCAATCTTAGAAAACACTCAAGCACCTTGTAACTGATCAAACAGGTCATCAAACGGGGCAAAGGATAACAGTTCTTCACTGTAACCTTGTTCAACTGGCGATAATCAATACACATACACATACGATAATCAATACCGTACCAAAATACCGAAGCAATAAAAAGTTAAACTAAAAATGCCGGGATCTAAATGAAAAAGAAAAGAAGGCCCGAAAATGGCAGAATCAACTACTCCACAAAAACATGGAGTATCGGAAACCACAACTGAAAACTAGGATTTTGGAACCATATTTTATTATCTTCAACCCAAATCCTATTTGACCAGTTGACTCTGTTATAAAATAAAACACTCATAATTCCACTCTGACTTCTGAGTGAGAAAAAATGTCGATTCTGTTCAGATTGTAACTCTCAAAGCCCTCCCGCTTTGTGATGGACAAAAACCAAAATGAATTTAATTGAAGAACAGATTTTAACACAATCAAGGATAGTAGGAAAAGATTAAAAAAACGTCAAAAACTTACACAGCAAAAATCTTTTGTCTATATTAATCACAACTTATGAAGGAACGCATAATCATTTACTTCCAATTGAGGCTACTGCTATGGCCTCCACAACTTCTGCTGCTGCTTCGATGCTTCTTTTTGGATCAGGAAGTACTTCTCAATCAGCTAGTAAAGATTTCAGAAATTTGCCTAATAATTCGAAAACAACACCTCTTTATTTTTGGGGAGAGCACCTAGGTTGGGGAATTTTCTCGTTTTTGTGTTCAAAGTGAAAGACAAGAGGAGCCTTATTTGGTGTATCTGATTGAGCCTTATTTTGGGGCTTTGCTTTGGATGTATCGATGTTAAAGGGGAAAGGGCAACAAAATATTTTGACCTAATATTATTATATTATTAAAATTAGTTAAAAATAAAAGAAAGAGGGGTTATTTTGGGCGGGTTTAGCGAAATTTAGGGGGAAAATAAGGAGGGAATAAATACCCGTTTCAGTAGAATTTTTTCTATAAACCGTTGCCATAAATAGTTCTATTTGGACGGTTTAAGTACCGTTGCAAAAAATATGTCTATGGCAACGGTTCTATTACAATTGCAATGGTTTTATAGCTATAGTATACTGATATCACCAAAACTCTATTGAAACGGTTTCAACCGTTACGATATGAGGTCTATGGCAACGGTTTATAAACCGTTAAAAATAACTGTTGCCATAGGCCCATTTTCTAGTAGTGTTGTATCTCCACAACTTGGATAAGTGTGGACCAATATTCATCCTCAAGAAGTTGATTACAATACTCAGTGACAAAGTTAACCAGCTCGGAACACTACCATTCGTCGGAGGACAAATCGTCCTCTACAGTTCCACTCGAAGAGAAAGTTGCCAGAAAATTTGACAAGCCCCATTCACAACTTTCTTGATCAGATCCCTTGTTTGGTTCTGGATTTCACCACAGGCTCTTCCATTGAAAGTCTGTTGAATCAGATCGTAGTTTGTTTAGAGCAGCAAACATGTCCAATAACGTCAACAACTTAACTGCTTCTTTCTTCCCTCTGGTAATTGTGTTGCCAAATTTGATGAAAGAATGAATCCCAGATTGGACTGCAATTTTCGCAAAGCCGTCCGTACAACTACTATCTTTAGATGCTGATTTATGGAATATTTCATTGTAAAGCTGAGGAAAAGACCCCAATGGTCCTTTATGTATAAGGCCAGGTTTAAGTTAGTCCTTTATATATTACCCTGGACAGCCATCATCCTTTATGTTTGCTGAAATTGGACACCTTTGGTCTAAGGCTCACTAAAATCCTTGTTAGGCTTTCATTTAACGGTAAAGTTCCATTCGTAACAGAATATATTAATAACAAGATGAGATCGTCACACCACCCAACCTTCACTATCGCCTTTTCCACCATTAAGTAAAAATATGTTCTCTTTCTCTTTTTTGCTATTTTTCATCTGTTTTCTTCCTTTGCGATTTCAGCCCCCCTCCATCATATCATATATCTGCATCAAGACTTTCCTTCCTCCTCTGCTAAGAAGTTCCTGTTTTCCTCTACTTCTTTTTCTATCCTTCAGCAGCAAAATCGTAGAGGTTAAATTAATTAAATTCTGTCACTACAGAAAAAATCCAAATTGAGTTGTTTAATATGCCTAAATTGAGTTGTTCATTGCGGAGGATAAATAATTAATAATGAACCTAAAAAATATTTTTGTAATCTAGAGAAAAAAAAATTTTGCCAATAAAAATGAATTTACAACAATTTGAAAAGAATAAGCCATAAAACCAGTCACTTCGTCCATGGAGTTTCTTTCACATTACTTAAATTTTTAAGTTCATCCAATCACATGCAACATCCTTGATCCCCTTTCCAGTGAAAAGGTTTGGACGTGAAGTTTATTTCCAAGGAGAACAAAAAGAAACATTTTAACTGGGCCTAACAATTTCCGTTAAGGAATAGAGTTGCCGTCACTGACTATCCTTTTTCTGTTAAAAAAAGAATTTTAGTGAGCCTTAGACCAAAGGTGTCCAACTTCGGCAAACTTAAAGGACCATTGTTGTCCAAGGTAATATATAAAGGACTAACTTAAACCTGGCCTTATACATAAGGGACCATTTGGGTCTTTTCCTCTTGTAAAGCTTGTGTTCTATGTCTAATAAATCCTTCACTGCAAAATCTAAGTGCTCGCGCCATTGATCAATGTGAGACTCTACACTCAAAACACTGTCAAACTCTGTCAATGATATCTCCTCCAGGTAGTCCAAATCCAGCTCTTCTAAAGTTTTTCTCACATTTGAACTCCGAACCTCGATATAAATAGACATGCATTTATCAAATTTGTTCACAGCCAATCTATCAATAATGGCTTGCACATTTTGAATAATATTAGGCAGAGGCAAAGACACTGGGGCTATGTCTGTTAACGAGGATGCCAATTCACTTTCCAGCTTGTTTAATGCGACCATCAACGCTCCACCTTTGGCACGAGAACGCTCCTCTGTGGCCTGCAATTGTCTAAGTATAGCCAAACACTTGTTCACATTCATAACATACAACTTTCAGAATACCGCGCACCACTTCATCCAAATCGTCCTAGAAATATCTTTTGACCTCCTCGTCCAAGCCTACTATGCGCTAATCAGGCTTAAAGTAAGCCCACCAACCACTAATTTAATAACCATCAACCTATCGTTCACCCTCTTAACATCTACCACCAGCTCCCTAAGGTAGATATCCACTAAAATTCCCACCCCGTTTTTGCCGCTAGAACGTCCCGAATACCACAGTTTATACACGTTGACATCCCGAGCGTTGGTACCCACATCTAGTCTCCTGGACACACACTATGTTGATCTTCCTCTTCAGGAGAATCCTACCTAGTTCTATAGACTTCCCCGTCAATGTCCCAATACTTGCTAATTTAATAAAGAATAAATAAGGAACAAACAATTTATTTGATTACTATATGATGTATCCTTTGATTTTATATAGATTTTATATTTTTGCATACTATATTAAATAATAAAATAACAACTAAGATTTATTAAAATAATATGATATATTAGATCATAATTTTATAAGATTAATATTCTGTCAAATTATTCCGTATCGCGCGGGTTCTAACACTAGTTAAAGTGAACCGGAAGGAGTAGTTATAAGCTTTATTCATCTCTTGGAAAGTAAAAGGTGCATAGCTTCCTATAGTAGAAGAAAACTTAAATCTTGGTGGTTAAATGTTTCAACTGCCACTTCCATTTTTTTATGAGCACTCAGTTCTCCATCTATGAAGTTCAATTATTGGGCTGTTCAACAACCAGAATTCCTAGTTGGTGGAGTTATGGTGGAATATAAGAGTTTTTGGAATAAATTGGAAATTTTTACTCACTTCGTCCCATTTTAACTATCATTTTACTACTTTTCATGCTCATCAAGAAAACAGTAAATGCGACGTATAATTTACTAAGTTACTTCTATTAAATATTTTTTGAGAATTGAGCAGTTATAAAAAGAACTACTACTTTAATATTAAAGATATAGTTGAAAATAATAAACAAATTTAATTTTGAATTCCTAAAGCGACTATAATTTTGGGAAATGTTTTTGAAAACACTTAGTCAGAATGTAATGTAACTTAATTTCTATTTGATTAAGTTAAATGACCAACCATTGTCGTGTTAATATGACTTGATTTTTTTATATTTAGTTAATTGAAAATTCATGGTCTAATGTTACTGCTCAACTTCATCGACAGGTGTTGGGACACAATTTAGGTTGTTACTCTAGATTTTAACTTTTATATTTCAAAAAAAAAAACTGTCTGGTGCACTAAGCTCCCGCTATGTGCAGGGTCCAGAGAAGGGGCGGACCACAAGGGTCTATTGTACACAACCTTACCCTGCATTTCTGCGAGAGGTTGTTTTCACGTCTCGAACTCGTGACCTCCTAGTCGGATGATAGCAACTTTACCAGTTACGCCAAGGATCCCTCCAACTTTTACATTAAAGAAGAAACTATTATTCTGGGTAGGGGCCTAGAGGGTAGTCTGTGTCTAGGTGGTTGAAACTAACAAACCAACTGTACAAGGGGACACCTACTTTCTACTGTTAAGACTAGACCCTGATACCTCTCTACCTACTGGTTATAAGATAACACCTCAAACCTCCAAATGTCTCTTACCCCAGGCTTTGTAATTGTAAAGAAAGTAAAGAAAGATTCTCCGGGTTATTGTATCAAACATCGTCCCATTAGAGATGGAGTCTTCACTGATAAAGTTGTTGTCATGTGACCAGAAAGTCACGTGGTCGAGCGGTGGAAACAGCATATTGCAGAAATGCAAGGTAAAGCTGCGTACAATAGACCCTTATGGTCCGGCCCTTCTCCCGACCCCGCGCATAGCGGGAGCTTAGTGCATGGGGCTGCCCTTTATCGTCCAATTAGACTATATATAGCCTAAGATATATGAATCGCAAGCGGTTGCCGAATTAGTAATCAGATTTCTGAATGTGTAAGACAGAAAACACACATGTAATTGAGGTGCTAAAAGATAGCATTATGATTCAGCATCTTATTTACATTACATACCACGACTAATGAAAGATTTTCTTAGATGTAGCTTGTTTAGCATTTTGCCAGAGAAGTATAATCAAAGATCATGAGGTGTATGCATATACTACAAATTACAACCTAGTTGTTCAGGACTAAGGTTGGAAAACAAATCAGTTTCTGTACGAGGAGTTAACGACGAACTGATCATCACCTTTCTTGTATTAGTAGTTGACAAGCTTCCTAAATCCTAATTCATGCTGCTGCTGGTGTGGAGGAAAGGTGATTAGCAACAATGCTATTAGTAAGCTTGCCACTTAATTCTGTGCATTTGGTAGTACTCCCATACTTTCCAACTTTTGGTTCAAATAGACTGCTGATCATATTTCCCAAGGTCTCAGCTGTGTATTTTATGTGCTGATCACCACTACTAGCAACCTCAAATTCTATAGAGGGCATGTATTTTGCTAGGTAGCTTTTGTACCAAGGGACAACAACCTGCAATACGAGTTGGCGTACTCGCCATCTTAGCCCCTTGTCACACAATTCCCTATTGGAATGCCTCTTGTAAATATCGTCGAAAGCCTCTGTGAATTCCTTGAATCTCTTCTTAACCACTTGACGATCAATGGCTCTCCCTCCCGGGAACAACACTAGACCTTCCTCGCTTAGAAGGGCCGGGAGTTTTCCCCAGCTCTCTTTCAAATATAGTGTCTCGTAATACTCCATATATTCCTCGTGACCTCTAATCCATTCGTGTCCCATCAGCTCGCCAAGTTTTGTTCCTTTCGTGTACTTGCACAAGTACCAATGGTTATTCATCAAGAAGAGATAGGAGAGAGTGTCGTCCGTGTATGTCTTTGCCCAACTCTCTAAATTGAGCTCAATTACCATTATTATTTTTCGCATCTCATTTAGAAGAAGCCCCTTATCGAAGCTCTCGTGGTTCCAACCTTGATGTATCTCCACAACTTGGATAAGTGTGGACCAATGTTCATCCTCAAGAAGCTGATTACAATACTCAGTGACAAAGTTAACCAGCCTCGGAACACTACCATTCGCCGGAGGACTGATTGTCCTCTGCAGCTCCACTTGGAGAGAAAGTTGCCAGAAAATTTCACAAGCCCCATTTACAACTTTCTTGATCAGATCCCTTGTTTGGTTCTGGATTTCACCACAGGCTCTTCCACTGAAAAGTCTGTTGAAATCGGAGCGTAGTTTGTTTAGAGCAGCAAACATGTCCAATAACTTCAACAGCTTAACTGCTTCTTTCTTCCCTCTGGTAATTGTGTTGCCAAATTTGATGAAAGAATGAATCCGAGATCGGACTGCAATTTTCGCGAAGCAGTCCGTACAGGTACAGCTACTATCTTTAGATGCTGATTTCTGGAATATTTCATTGCAAAGCCTGTGTTCTATGTCTAACAAATCCTTCACTGCGAATTCCAAGTGCTCGCGCCATAGGTCAATATGAGACTCTACAGTCAAAACACTGTCAAACTCTGTCAATGATATCTCCTCCAGGTAGTCCAAATCCAGCTTTTCTAATGTATTTCTCACATTTGAACTCCGAACCTCAATATAAATAGACATACATTTGTCAAATCTATGGTTCGCGTCCAATCTATCAATAATGGGTTGCACATATTGAATAACATTAGGCAGAGGCAAAGACAGTGGGGCTATGTATGTTAACGAGGATGCCAATTCATTTTCCAGCTTGTCTAGTGCGACCATCAACGCTCCATCTTTGGCACGAGAACGTTCCTCTGTAGCCTGCAATTCTCTAAGTATATTCAAACACTTGTTCACATTCATAACATACCAACTATCAGCAACTGATGAAGAATTGCAGTTACTGTTTTCAAGCCAAGAAATGACTAATTTGCAGTTATGGGTGAGAAGGCGGAGTGCTTCTTCCATCCATTTGAGTGTAGTGAGATAAGCAGAGATATCATCAGAAGGGTCAGTGGAAAGAGTTTTTTCAAGTCCACAAATGACATCAAATATCTTAGCAAGAGATGCAGCAGGAGCAATAGCGCCATCAATATCACGACCAATCATCTTGTATAATGTACATTTACATGCTATAGTTCTAAGGGCATCTGCTAAGAAATTCAGCCTCTGCCCACAACTCTCCAATCTGCAGCCACTATCACCAATTTCTACACCTAATTCTCTTGATTTCTCTATGTTACACTTGAGAATTTCTCTTGCAGCTTTCATCTTCTCAATCCCATGCATTTTTCTTTGTTCACAAAAGAAATGATTGTTTACCATATAGTGACCACATGCATAATTTCTTTACCAAACTCAACAAATGAGGTTAAAACAACTATACCAAACTTCACTGCCAAAACAAGACTAAATCCACAACCACCCAAAAGGTACATCACTTTAATATTGTACACTTGCTTTTTAATATTTGTCTTCTTATTGCCTTTGCTTCACTCTTCTTTTCTCCAAAATTGTTCATCCTTTACAAGCCAAGAAACCACCAAGTTTGCCTTTTCTAAAGTGTGAGCTTTTCTATCAGCAATTATTTGCCATAAAAATCTCTGGAAAACCAAAATATATTCCTAGTTGGGCGATATTAAAGCAACTAGGACCGAGTCTAATGCTGGTAGAAAATTAAAATGGGAAAGGGAAAATAATTTCACCTCACTAAACTATTTGAAATTGAGCAACTTTAACATCCGGTAAACTTTAGGACTAATCTTACTGCCGTTGTTAGAAAAAAATCTTATTTTTGTCTTGAACCCCTAATAGAGCTCTAATCCGAAGGTAATTCTACACTTGCTCAAAGATTAAGGGAAATTATGAGCATTTTTAATGAAGAATTTGGACACTAAGAGCCCGTTTGGCTTAGCTGATAAGCATAGGTGCTGAAAGAAAAACACTTTTAAGTGCTGAAGCTGATTTAAAAAATAAGCAGTTACGTGTTTGGATAAAAGTGCTGAAGTTAATAATAAGCAGCTAAAAAATTGGGTATACAAGGAGTTTTATTTTAAAAAAGAAGTATTTTAGGGATAGAATAGTAAATATTTTGGTCAAACCTAAAGTGCTTATAAGCTGAAATTTGATAAGCTGGGGGAGACCAACTTATGGCTTTTGGCTTATTTTTGGCTTATAAGCACTTAACTTATAAGCACTTTTAATTTTACCAAACGCGTAGATAAGCCAAAAAGTGCTTATAAGCCAGTTTGACCAGCTTATAAGCTTAGCCAAACACCCTCTAATTCGACGTTGAAGCTTCGTTAATAATAAGAATAAATACAAAATTATTTGCCAATAGCAAGAATATGAATGGAGAAAAAATCTAATGGATGGCGACATTGAGCAATTTTGGATAACATATAAGTAAGTTTGGACCTTTTCCTAAATTAAAAAGGCGAAAGGGCAAAATTATTAGTATATGAATATGGAACGGTTTTTGACTTTCTTAAGCATCTGTGCATGTGTCACAATCTTGAAAATAATAAAAACAGAGAAAAACTTGTGCCATAAGTGAACTCTTTCTCTTTGGTGAGTCTATTCCTAGGATTACTGTTTTTATACGATGAATCATGATCGCATCAAAGTAAGGAAAAAAGATACTCTACAAAAAGAGAACGCGGGAGAAAGTTGTTATGTATCACAATTATGTATATCACGCTCTTTTTATTTAAAAATAAAATTTTAAAATATTTTATTTCATTCATTTTGACATAATTTCAATGATCTTAAATTTAAACTGTGATATTTTATCTATCAGACCTAATTTTCAATTAATCTTTAAATGGTATCAATTGATACTTCATATTTCATATTTCAGATTAATATTTTAAACTCTATAATTAAAAAAATAATGTGATATAAAATGAGGCGGAGGGTATACTATCTTTTGTTTGGGTGAAAAGAAAAGGAGAGCAAAATTATGGACAACACTTGTTTGGGAAGAAATTTTTGTCCCCTCTCTCTCTCACTTATCTCCTTTTGTTTCCCTGTAACTTTTATATTATTCATTGAGGCTAGACGAATGACAGCTTTGTAATTATTGTGCACTGTGGAACGTTGCTCGATATGTTAATGGATCATTTCGAACTTGACTCATTGAGTCAAGTGGCAAACAGGTCATTACGCAATTCATTTAAACTTGGTCACTTTAGACGAATTACAAATTGATTTCTCCACCTCATATACCATAGCAAAGGCTGTAATTGGCATCTTCTTGTCAAACCTGCAGTCGAAACAAGGACATTAAACACTATAAAAAGAACGCAATATTAGGACTGTAGGTCATTTGTAACTAAATTAAGGACGATTACATTGAATCACTCCAGAATTGGAGAATAAAATAAAATTCAACCATCACAAAGGGTATATATATATATATATATATATATATATATATATATATATATATATATATATATATATATATATATATATATATATATATTATTTCTTCTTTTTCATCTCCCGCATTCAATTTATTTCTAGAAGGTAGCTTTCATCCTTGGAGCTCGCTGAAATTATCATATTTATTGCTATCAACCATATCCCTTTTCCCAATTCGAACATACTTGCCTAATCGCCTTTGTAGTAAAAAACAGAAAACACGTCCCTTTATTATATGTGAAACTTTATATCCTTTTCTATAAAGGAAACTTGATTTACACATCCTTTTTTAAATGCTGCAGCAAGTAGGTGATATGCATTGTGTGACCTAAAGTTCCTCCAGCGAGACCACTCAACATGTTAGAGGGGTTGATTTCATGTATTGTCATTATGCTTTTGCCAGTAAAGTCACAAATCTATTTTTTGTCGCATTAACATAACCAGGCTATATCCATTACAACAGTAGAGGCACAAATCTTTTTTTGGTCACATTAAAGTAACCGAACAGTTCAATAAATGTCTACTCTAATACTAATAAACAATATACAATTCTATGATTGTTCACGCATATGATAAGTGTCCAAGCAATTCGACGCTCAACAGAGTGTTAGCAACATGTAAAGACTCAACATTTTTTACTACCTATTTATCAAGCGAAAGGAAATCACAAGGATTTAAAACTAATAGAAGGGTACATCTACGTCTTGTGTTTCTTACAGACCCACATGATAGAGCTCCACATGCTACAAGAATCATATGAACTGATAAATTCATGTGCTCGTCGTTTCCTATGTAGACTTGCACAGGTTTTGCCTGCAAAATACTCCAATATCCAAATATGATGGAAAAGACAGCTAACTTTTTTCCTTCCCAAAGCATCTTTTTCTATATTCTCTTTCTTTCCACTTCATTAAGGCTTTCTCTCTTTAGCCCCTCGAGAGAAAATTCTCACATACCTTATGTCTTGCCCACAGGTTCTGAGAATTATTTACACTTATTTTACGATCACAAATACGTGTCAACTGAATTGAACCACCACATAGGTTACCTCTAGGAAGATGAATAAAGAAGGAAGTTCTACATATTCTGCTCAGATAAAATGAAGGCATGAATAAGGCTCTGAGCAGCTCGTGCTTGATCTGGTGTCCCCGACACAACAACAGTGCCTTCTGTAGAACCGGCGGCTACAGGATCATGAACTACTATCTTAGCACCTGAAATCTGAATCCCAAACACAAATGTTAACTACCTTATCTAAGAAGAGAAACAAAGCTTCCACGAGCAAACTGACCTACCCTTTTTATATCACTAAGGTTGCTAGAATCCTCTCCATAAACATGTTTTAACAACATCTGAGGAATTACCACTTCAATAACAATGCCTGGCAAATTAGGTGTTGCCGTCTCACTGCAAAAAGAGTTTAATATAGTGGATATGAAAACCGATGGCAAGATATGAAAAGGATACGACGAATAGCAAATTAAACAACAATCCAAATCAACCAAGAAAAATAAAAGAAGTGTAGATCTATGAACTTCCAAGTCAAATGTTGAGATTCTACACCACTTTCAATTTCATTCATTAACAATGAATTGAACACCTCAAGTATCTCTAGTTTAACATTCAATTAAAGACCTCAATATCTCCAACACAAACTTTACAACTCAAATTTAAAAGCAGGTGACCCGTGAGCTCTGCAGAGATTCTATTGACTTGCCTTTGAAATTTATGTGGAATTGTGGATACTATTCTTACAAGAGAGAAGGGGTTTATACACCTCAATAAAGGAAATATTATCTCATCATGTAATCTACATCTCTATCTCGCTATCTTGTTTATAAGAACTTTACATTCTATAGGCAAATGGAAGGGGAGCCTTCGCGTAACTGGTAAAGGTGCTGCCATATGACCAGGAGGTCACGGGTTCGAGCTGTGGAAACAGCCTCTTGTGGAAATGCAGGATAAGGCAGCGTACAATAGACCCTTGTGGTCCGGCCCTTCCCCGGACCCCGCGCATAGCGCGAGCTTAGTGCACCAGGATGCCTTTTTTACCTTCTATAGACAAATGCAAATTACAGGAAGCTGAACAGCTTAACAAATCTACCCTCAACCAGCTCAAAAGGTGGAGCTACGTACTCATGTTTGACCAATTTTCTGTAAACGTCCAGCCGCCAAACCCCAGGTTAAGAGAAATTTGAAGACTACAATAGCATATCCTCTACCCTATATTTTTTAAGATAGCCTCTTTTCTTACTTCCATAAGAAAGCAAGTTCTTTTACATGGCCTGTCTATGTTGTGCATACAAAGACATAACTTTCCCGACAAAATGGATTAACATGGATTAACAGTGAATTGAGTTCATGCTTCTGAATAGCTTTTAAATTCCTATTAGCAGCTGAATATCATTTATTAGGCCTTAATAGCTTCATCACTGTAGGCCTGCAACAATACTAATCAAGCCGCTGCCAACTAATTGCCCACAGCTCTGCACTTAAAGTTGCACAAGGAAGACCAAACTAGTAGCCCCAAAAGGAAACAGTTTTACCCAAGTGAATCAGAAACCGGTGAGTCCTGCACTAACAGGGAAACCAGTAACCCCTTTAGTGCATCCAACCCAGCACTCCCCTGGGAGATTCAATGGATCGCTTCAAGTTATTAGCAGTGATCACAATCTCATAAGCAACCTAAGACGTTGCAGACAGAGGAAAACAAGTTACCTGCCACTCTGACCATTCTTCAAGGCAAAGCTTCCACTTAAATCAGCCACTCCAGCTGTATATCTAGAATTGACTGCCTGGATAAAACAGCAAGAAGGAAAGTGAATAGTCGTAAATGCAACATTCCCCAATCATAAAAAATGTACCAACAATTAACATTTACTGGAAAGAGCTCCCACAAACCTGAGGACCCCATCTTCCAGGTGAAGGAGGTCTATCAAAAAATGGAACATGTCCTTGTCTCTCATAGCCATGGAAACGGGGAGCACGATCTGAATAAACATCACGGTCTAAATAATGTGAAAATGCAGCCAGCAGTTCATATGTTTGGATGAAATACCAGTATGTTCTATACCATGAGGGTAGCCAGCAGGTGAGCGGTAACTAGGAGAAGCAGGATCGTGCCTTGGCCTGAATGATGGGGATGGAATTTCAGAATAGGAGGGAAAATGTGAAGGGGCAATATTTGAAATATGTGGCTTCATAGGAAACATTGTATCACGAATCCTACAAGTAATTTGGAACAAAGCATCCTGGACAGAGTGCATGCTCCCAATAACCTGTAGAGAATTCAAACATCATAAGTCACAGTTGGAACAATGAAGGATAGAAAACAAGGTTGAACTCCTTCTCATTTATCTTTTTTTTATATAGTCTGGTGGAGGTAAGTTCCACCAAGTGAGACAGAAATGCAACTCAATTTATTTGAGATACACGTGCATGTAACAAGTATCAGAAAACACCGACATGGAATGCACATCTCTTTGATGATCATCATCGAAACATTTTAATTAGTCTATCTGAATACTCTCACATCTTAAATGCTAATCCCTCCCCACCCATCCCCAAGAAATCTAAGCAATACGAGTTTATAGAAAAGAGGTAGAAATGCAACTCAATTTATTTGAGATCCATAATCATTTAATTAGAAGTATCACAAAATGTAGAAGCAGAGAACACATATATCCAATGATCATCAACAACACACATTGTGATTTCCCTGTCAGAACACTAACTTCAATGTAAAAACTGCACCCCCCCCCCCCACAAACACCTTACCCCCCCCCCTCCCCCCCCCCAAAAAAAAGGCAAATTCCAAGCAACACGAGTTATATAGCTGAGATGTAACGACTATTACATATTTTTTAGAATGAAAATCTGTATTTACCTGTAAAACTTCTTCAGTGTGGGAACCATATTTTGGAGAATGTTCTCTAGGAAAAATACGTATACTAGCACCAGTGAGTCGTCGCAATTCAGCAATTAGAATACTTCCATTACCAAAGAGACAACTCATGTGACGTGCATGTACCAGAAGCCTTGAAACAACTGCAGCTCCTGGTTCAAATCCAATCTCAGCAATTCTGGCCTGTACACGAATAAGAGCTTCCTGAGCAGGGGAATGTCTTTGCTCGGGGTTCTGCAGAAAGAGCAAAGCAGCTGATCTCAATAAAGCTTGGCAAGGATAGAGTAGTAATGTTAAAAGATCAACACATGCAGTTCTTTCTCACTCAGTTATATATTCAACAAGTTCAAATAATCTTCAAATTGACTCTACGCAGTTGATCATATGACTGCCAAGTGGCATAAAACGGAAGTGAGCATATGACTTTAACATAACAAATGCAAGTTGGATCAGTGTTTCAAAAAACATAAACAGTTGCTTAGCTAACAGTCAGCCTACCCACCTCCCTTGCAGATATCACAACAACTCTTTCATCTAAATCAGATGCTGAATCAGCAATCTTGATAGATGCACCAGTTTCATTCTGCATCACCCTTATAATTGAGCCTCCTTTTCCTATCAAGTTTCCAACTTTGTCAACCGGACACAACACCTTAAACACGATCTCTTCCTCCAAGATCATCCTGTGGTTGATTCCAGCACTTTCAACACCAGAACTCCTTGAAAACTGATCTGGAGTGTGATAACCAGTTCCAGTTTGTGACATTCCTGAAAATTTTGGGGTAGAGGCATTTACTGAATCTATCCTCGAGTTATCCTGAAGACAACTTGAAACAGACAAAAGAGCTTTTCTCACAGCTGAAAAGCTTCCAGTTATCTGCAATGTGAAGATATCCTCTGAGAAGTCAAAACCATATACAGAGTGATGTAATCATACAAGCAAGACAAAGATAATAAAAATGAACACAAATATTTCTCAGATAAAGCTAATAGATCAATCCAGCATTTGCCTCTGCTAAAATAACATATTTGATATAATACACACAGAAACATCACATATACTTGTAACAGATCTACTTGGTATAAAGTGGAGGAGATTGAACTTCTGGGAGCATAGTTGGTATGGAATCATTGTTTAGAAGGATCGCCTCCAGCATCTGTTTGCCATCTCTGAAGATCAGCCTGCTCTGGTGGAGGGAATAGAAGAAAACAAAGACTTAGAAGGAATTGCAGGTTTAGGAGATGGAGGAGTTGGACGATATGATCACACTGTATCTCATCAACTTTTAATGTGAGGGCACGGAAACTTGCAGGTGGAAGGATCAACTGATAGTAAAATCTCAGTCATTCTTTCTATTAGCACCTGCCAAGAGTGATACAAGGGATTTTCCCCTTTGCATCAGCATAAACAGAGCTACAAGTAAAGTGGGTCCATTTGTCTCGTGTATGCTCCTCCATACCCTCCGACTTAAGATTACAACGGTCACCTTTGGATATTGTCATGACACTATGAAGGTTACTTTGGTCTAGGTTTATGATAAAATCAACGGGGTAAAAGTACCTCCAACTCAACAATATCATACGTCATAAGTGCTTAGATTTGGTCGAGTTTGTTAGAAGACATAGTTTCATGGGTTCATTGCTTGGTACAAATAATCCTATCACGATAGTATATACTTTGCGCACAAGTGATATTCAACATGTCTATATGACTGGAGGGGTGTTGTAGAAAGGAACTATTCTGCATAGGACTCCTACTTTATATACCACTTGTATAGAGGATCTTTGCATTGTCCACCGGGGGGGGGGGGGGGGGAGGCACTTTTGAAGGATGCCCTTTTATGCTAGATTGATATACTCCCTCTGTTTCAAAAAGATTGACACTATTTCCTTATTAGTCTGTTTCAAAAAGATCGGTACCTTTCAATATTTCCTTAATAAGAAGCATTTATAGCCACACAAATGATATGACAGATTTTAGATCAAAAGTTTTACAGTCACACAAATGCTATATGTTATGGCTTATTTAAGACCATATATCTCAAAAGTCATCCCTTTTTTATTAAAGTTTGTGCCAAGTCAAACTAAGACAATCTTTTTGAAACCGAGGGAGTATCTAGTATCAATCTCACTCATGCATTACCTTACTCACAGAATACATCACTGTTGTTCCTTTTCCTCCTTTCCTTATTATTTTGTATCCATCATGCTTCAAGTTCCGGACTTCCAAAACATGCACTCAACTTTGTTTCACCTGCTTCCAGTATAACTACGGTCCAAAAAACTTATTTCCTTAAATGGCAGATTTTTTTTTAATCAAGACCTTAAATGGCAGAATTTACAATCTTCATGCATTCAATTGAACATGAAACATTGCTATGTGATACTTCCAATTAGATGTAAGAGCTTTGCTGACTCCATTCAATTATTATTTCAACATATCTCTACGAACTCAAGTATAATTAATTTATTCCAACTTCTTCCTCTTAATCTCCATTTTTGTTACTGCTGCAGGTGAACGTACTTTTGACAGGTGAGCACACAAGATAATAGCGAACCCATCAGAAAGAAGGTCAATTAATTCCACTTTTGAGTATAATTTACACATTCTAACAATTGTTTCTTCCTCCATAGAGAAACAACAATTTCAACGCTACTGTGTTCCTTTAGGTACATGGAAGTCGTGAGCATGATCAAAAGAACCAATTAAGCACAAAACTCATCATCGAAAACAAATAGTGTTCAGAGTAGTGTTCAAAGACAGTGATATGCAATCAGCAACTCTCTTCGTTTCAGTTTATGTGGCAACATTTCCTTTTTAATCCATCCCAAAAAGAATGACCTCTTTCTAAATTCGAAAATACGCTAACGTAAACTTTCCATTTTACCCTCAGTAACAAGCTTTTATTGCCACACAAATGTTATATTGTTATGGCATGTTTAAGACCACAAGTTTTAAACATTTCATTTTTTTCTTAAAGTATTTACAACATCAACAACTACAATTACGCCTGAGTTCCAAACAAGTTGGAGTCGTCTAGATATTCCTCACTTCTCCATTTAAGCTCAATTCATGTCATCAGTTCAAATAAATTGCAACAAGGGAGTAAATGATATTAAATTCAAGACAGCTGGATATTAGGATGAAGTGCATAGAGCACGAAGAAAGTGCATTGCCTGAATTAACTCGTCACCAGGTGAAGCACAAGCAGGCAACTGATCTTTAGGCAAAACCCTAACTTGAGCTCCAGCCTCCAGTCTTATCTTCTCAATAATCTTCCCCCCTCTGCCAAGCACGCTGCCAACCTGATTACTCGGTGCTAACAGCCTACAAATAACCACTCCCTGTGGACCCCACACATCGCTACATTCATCCTTCCTCCCCTCCCCTTCCGCGTTCCGCTCCTCGTCCACCTTCAATATCCTCTCGAAAACTCTAATCAACGCCCGCTGAGCCTGCGATGACGATGACTCGTCGTCCAAATTTGCTAATTCTTCGACACTGGAATTAGCAGCCGAGCTGCACTCTTTCTTCGTCGAGTCGGCTATTATAACAATAACGCGCTCATCGCAGCCGGGAAGTGAATCGTCAATGCGAATTTTGGCTCCGGTCTCCTCTCGGACTTGGCGGATGATGACGCCGCCTTTGCCAATGACGCCACCAGTTTTTTCCGCCGGACATAGGATACGGAAAAAGGCTTCACCAGGAGCGAGCTTCAGAAAAGGAGGCGGCGGTGGTGTACGGAAGGTATTGGATGGCGGAGTTGCAGAGGAAGACTGTAATTGGTGGCGGCGCTTGGTGGGAGTGGAAACAGTGGAAGTATCTGCTGTGGTGGAGTCCAGCTGTCGCTTCTGCGCGAAGGATGCGTCCATGAAAGGGAAAAAGCGTTGAAAGAGAAGAGAGGCAGTAATATGGATTCGTGAGGTTTTTAATTCGCGCTATATTATTGCCGATAAAATGACAAAAAATATAGGATGTTCATACAAACAGCCGGTTAAATTTATTAATAGTATTTAATTTTTCTTAATAAATTATATATAGGACTTTACACATATTGTAATATTGAGTACGCGTGAAATTCTTACCTCCGCCACAGGTTAAAAGTGATGATTCAATAGAGCTACTTACCTCCGCCTCGGGTTAAAAGTGATGATTTTATAGAGCTGGTAAAAACTTAACCTCACCGAGTATATACACCCAATTTAGTTAAGTTAACCATAAACAATAAACTAAAGTTTACTAGGAGTCCTATTTTTAAATAAAATTTTTTTAAGATGGAGTTATCGAATAAGGCATCGTGATAAAATATAGGGTTGCCGTCACATTTAGATCTTTTATTTCCCTAAGTTTTTATTCTAACATTAGTTTCACTCTTCATTGTTGATTTAACAAGAAGCTGACGTTTACTTTTTCACTGATGCAATTGCAAAATTAATATATAGTATTATGCATGTTTATCCTAAAATCAGATAACAATTGAATTTATAAGTTTTTTTAAGGATACGTTGATTAATTTGACACAACGCGATAAGTTAACTTATAATCAGAAATAAAGTATGATAAAGTAAATTCAAACCACACGAATTGAATAGTAACAACCTTGGGGGAAAGCCACCCTTTAGCGGAATGCACTCCGACCAGTATCAGGACACAGTTGGAATGGAATTTAAAGAGAAAATAACAGGCTTCTGAGTGGATGTTACAATGTTCTTTACAAATAATTAGATCCCCTCTGTATAGTAGGGGAGTCCTACTTTAGGTACAATTCTAAAAAAGGTAAAAATATCTCATGATTTGCTAATTAACCGGTTTCTCATTGATACGTGCCGAGACTCCTGCCGTGATACCCGATCGGTTACGGATATTTCGGCCTTCCGTTATTTAGTCCAACAATGTTTCCTCGAGCTCATACGGAGTCGGGGTCGATTCCGGGGTCACGGACTTGATGTTCTTGAAGACGGGCGTTCTAACCTCGTACCCTAGTTCGATGGAACCCGGGGTCGATCTTCAATCAGTTACGTTTCAATCTCGATCTGTCATGCAATAGATGAGCCCTATATCGACTGTATACAGATAGTCCCCTCATTTTTCGGAGAGTAAACGACGAGAAATGATATCAGCCCCTGATCCCTGTCTCAATACTTTGCGTCAGAAATGACAAAATGAACGAAATGTCTCGTCAGTCACGTCTTAATGGCATCAAATATTCGTCAGTTGTTGGTCGGCCACTACAGGTTTTGAACCGCCGTTTGAAAATTACAAATACCCCCTCCTTCATTCATTCTAACTTTACATCCAAACCTTTCCTACTCTTGTTCTTAAAAAATCCTTGCATTCTTTAGCACTTGTACCCAGATTTCTTGAGAGCTTTGTAAAAACCCTTGTTGTCTAAACTACTGAGCGTACCCTTTTAACTTCTTCTTCTTCATCATCTTTGTCCAAAACAAAAATGGCGAAGACTTCTAAGACAGTCCCTCAAAAAGAAAATTCTTCTTTTTCCCGGCCGACCGACGGAACCTCCTATTGGCGCGATTATTCCTGGCGGATGATCGGTGACCGCCGACTTTAAGGTTGAAAAACCTTCACCCATACCGGGCCGTGGTGAAAAGGTATCGAGGTATATTTGCTCGATTACCGAAGAGATCCTCCCTACGGTCATAAAGGACTGCAACTGGGCCGAAAAAGACGTGGTGATTCCCGGGCCCGACGAAGACATCACTACCCACGTTAAGTGATACTTAAGTGTTTACACTTTTCTTTTTATGTTGGGCCTGTTAGACCCGGTGATCATCCAGTTCTGCAAAAGGTACGAGGTGTGCCTTGGTCAGATCCACCCCTCGTTCTGGAGGATAGTTATTCTCCTCCGATTCTTCGTGAGCAAGATTGATGGATGCCTATTCACCGTTGATCATCTGATGCGCCTCTACAGTCTCCGATTCTTTCGGGGGGACTGATTAAACTTGCGCTCCGGGCCACTAAAGCCTCATTCTCGAGCATCAATGAAGATCGATACTGAGGTTGGCTAGGTCGATTTGTCCGAGTGAGGACCTCGGACCTGATCCCGACCAAGGACATGTCGTTCCCCAAGAGTAGAACACAAAATGTAAGTAAAGTTCCTTCTTTCCCAGAATTTAATATTTTTGCTCCTTTTCCCCCCTTTCTTAACGATGTTTGGTGGCGATACAAGTTGCTCAGGTTCCAGATGCAGTTCCTCGACTCAGGGAGTGGGTTGAGGGCATCGTCTCGAAGAAACCGTATTCCAAGCGCGCATGGCGCTAACTTTCGAAGGGCCGGTGGGAGGCTCGTTCTCACGGTGAGATTCATTCTTTGAGTGGACAATACTTGGGTTTCTTCCGTGCTGCCTTACTCATTTCTTTTTTCTTTGTAGGCCTTGGAAAGGATGTTGCAATGAGGCCTCCACCCGACGATGAGAATGCAAGGATTTTTTAAGAAGCGATAGGGCTCATCATCGATTGCTTGAGCCCTGACACAATGAGGCCTCCATCCGGCGATAAGAATCCCCTACTCTGAGGCAGGGTGAGGAGAAGAAGAGGAGAAGAGCTTCGAGTTCCCCGAACTCGGAGAAGAAAAAACTGAAAAGGAGGTTGGTGCGCAAATCCAAGGAAAGCACCAGCGCCTAAGAGCTTCCATCGGACTGAGTCCACCATCTGAGGGATGAGTCCGAAGAAAAAGAAAAAGAAAATTCTGAACTGGTGGCCCGCGTGCGAGGCAACGTCGTACTGCCCCAAACCAGGGGGCTGATGATGAGGCAGTGACTGAGGCCTCCGAACCAGAGAGGGGCGAGGCTGTTTTGCCCCAAGTTAGGGAGGCCGACCAAGATACTGCAGGTGGCACTTCTCGGGAAGAGGATAATGCCCCGAAGGATGCACTTGGAGTGATTCTCCGAGTCGCCCTTATTTACTGACTCCATGATTCACGATGCCTAAACGCTAAAAGGATGCCCAACCTAGGGGCCCCAGGGGGTGGCAGACCCCTATAACCACTTCTTTGATGGTTTAGATTCTTCTGCCTCAGAAGACGTCACCGGGCTGGGTGACTTACCGGTACCAAAGAAGAGTCCGCCTTCGGGAACCAGCGGACTTTCTTCGAGCCCGAAACTAGTAAATCGGTTCCCAACTCCGAGTGCAGATCTTGACCGAAAACGGTCAATTATTATGTCTATTCTGGAGGATGCCCAGGTCCTCTCCGCCCCCGTGTGGGTTGCAAGTCATCTTCGGTGCCTGGTGACCGAAGATGATCAAGCAAAAATGAACGAGGTGGAAGCGCCCTTCCTGTTCAATGATGCCTAACAGGCGTTAAACCGGGTAACTTTGAATGTCTCTTGATGACTTTTCTATTATGTACTTAGATTAAGTCATAAATAATCGTAACCTTTTCCTTTGTGTTTGTAGGCCTCGCTGCTCCATCACGAGACTTTTCTCCGATATCGAGAAGAGTTAAACCACCACGAGGCCGAGACCCGAGAGCTCATCGAGAAGAGGGATGCGTACAAGCTTCTCAGTGAGCAACGTGAGGGGAAGGTCAAGGAACTTCAAGCTGAGCCGGAGGCAGCCCGGAGGAGCATGCTGACCTGGTCAAGTAGGTAAGAAGAGTCTTTGAGTTTAGTGATGATAAGTCAAATTCGATGGCTAACTATCCGAAACTGCAAGTCCAACTGAAGCCTAACCAGATCGGACATCTCCAGGCAGAGGTATACGCGGTAAAGGCCGAGGCAGAAGAATGGAAAAAGAACATGGATCGCCTAGCCTTAGAAAAGAAGACCGCCCGGGCACAACTGACCTCGGCTGAGATCCAGCTTCGCGCTGTAAAGGAGAAGTCCTTGGTGCAGGCCAAGACGATCGAGGAGCTCCATCTCAGTTGAATTCTGCTACTTCCGATAGATAGTATCTGTCCAAGGAAATTGAAACGGTCAAGTCAGAGGCCAGAGTAATTAAAGTTGATGCCGAAGAGATGGTGGTCGTTTATAAGGCCGACGCCGAAGCGGCTCAGTTTCGAGCAAAAGACATCATCGAGCATGCTAAGTGGCAATCTCGAAGGAAGCCCTTGAGGAAATTCATGCTTGGGGTTTCGACTTATCAACTGAGATTGAGAGTGCTAAAGAGATCGAAGTCGAGGCCAAAAAATTTGGCCTGCCTCGAAGACGACGAGGAGTTTGAAGATCTGGGCGAGTCCGAGGGTGGTGGGGACCCCGAAGGTGATGATGTTGCTCCCGACGAAGACTAGGCCACTTAGGCCTTTAGATGTTTTTATTTTTTATATTTTTGTTGAGGCTGTTTGGCCTTTGTAAAAATTTGCATCGGGGTTGTTTGGCTCTTGTAGAAAGAATTTTTGATTATGAATATAAGTCTTTTTCGTTTCAATAACTTTTGAATTTTCTCTTACTTTTATTTGCAAAGCTCAATGCCTTAGCATGGAATAATTAGGTTTTGTTCAGAGATTCGAACAAACCTTGCCTTTAACTATATTTTGTTTTAAGGCATCGCAGGGGTTCAATGTGACCGAAAGTTTTTTCCCAAAATACTTATGACTTTTTTTAAGTCATAGTCTGCCGAGGGTAGCCTTTAGAACCAGTTAAGAAATTTTAAGGCCTTATTATTTTTATTACGGGTCTCGGACGTCTCTGAGCCGTGTTAATATGGTCGTAGACTTTATAGTTTGGGTGTTGATATAGTTATCCCGAGTTGTTCGGGCTTTCCCAAGGTGACAGTCCCCGAGTAGAGGTGGCCTTAGCCTTTAAAATTCGGGCATTACCTAATAGGACTTCTGCCCCCGAGCTCCGATAGCTCGGACCGTCCGAGTTTGGTTTCGAACGGCTGTCCCCGGATGGGAGTGACCGTGTGAACCCGGACTAAGGTGGACCTTGGGCTCGATACCTTTAGGAGATCGGAAGTAGGAAATTCCTTAAGAAATGCGAGAAAAACTT